CAGATCAAGAAATCACCCATTTCATACAAAACCCACCAAGCCATTGTTCTGGTTGTTACATTTCTTGCATATGCTAGCTACCACGCCGCTCGAAAAACCACGAGCGTGGTCAAGAGTACTCTTGATCCCCAATCCTCGATTACAAGCTTAAATTCTTGGCCATGGAGGATGAGTTACTTGAGTGAACCAGCTGAAAGCAGAAGACTTTCTAGGGTTCTTGGAGATGGTTGGGCCCCATTTAATGGATCAGATGGCACAGCCTTGCTTGGTGAGGTCGACCTTGCTTTCCTGGCTGTGTATGCTATAGGAATGTACTTCTCCGGACACTTGGGTGATAGGACGAATTTACGAATCTTTCTAACAATCGGAATGGTGGGAGCAGGGGCGTTTACTGCAGCATTTGGAGTTGGATATTGGGCAAACGTTCACACTTTCTATTACTTTCTCGGCGCTCAAGTGCTTGCTGGTTTGTTTCAATCGACGGGATGGCCTTCGGTAGTTGCAGTTGTTGGTAATTGGTTTGGGAAGAAGAAGAGAGGGCTGATTATGGGTATATGGAATGCTCACACTTCTGTTGGGAACATTACAGGGTCTTTGGTTGCTTCCGCCCTGTTGCGATACGGGTGGGGTTGGTCCTTTGTAGTCCCAGGTCTCATAATCGCTACCGTTGGTGTGGTGGTTTTTCTGTTCTTGCCTGTTAGTCCTGAGGATGTTGGAGCCAGTGAAGAAGATGAATTGCCATCTCCCAAGAAAATTGGGGCAGGAGTAACGGAACCATTGTTGGAACCAGAGGTGAAAGGGAAGGAGAGTGCCGTCGGGTTCCTAGAAGCTTGGAAAATTCCCGGAGTTGCTCCTTTCGCTCTGTGCCTATTCTTTTCGAAATTGGTTGCCTACACGTTTCTCTATTGGCTTCCTTTCTACATTAGTCACACAGGTACTTACTTCAACTTCCTTGCTGCTTTGAATTCTTAGTTAACAGAATTTCTCGATGTGCTGTTATGCGAAATATGATAATTTCTTCATATCAAGACTCACATTTCGTGTCAACTCATGTTGCAGCTATCGACGGAAAGTACTTATCCAGTGAGTCAGCTGGTAACTTATCCACATTGTTCGATGTTGGAGGTGTTCTTGGAGGAATCCTTGCCGGCTTTATTTCAGACCGCTTGGGTGCCAGAGCGATAACAGCTGCAAGTTTCATGTACTGTGCTATCCCTGCACTCTATGTCTACCGAAGCTATGGACACGTATCCATGACTGTGAACATTGCACTCATGTTCATCACCGGCATGTTTGTGAACGGGCCATACGCTCTAATAACAACAGCCGTCTCGGCTGATCTTGGAACACACAGCTCATTGCGTGGGAACTCGAGGGCATTGGCGACAGTAACAGCGATCATAGATGGAACAGGCTCCATCGGGGCAGCCATCGGACCTTTGCTGACCGGCTACATTTCAGCCAAAAGCTGGAGTGCAGTCTTCACAATGTTGATGGGAGCAGCTCTGATTGCAGGGCTGCTTCTGACTAGGCTTGTTGTGGCGGAAGTTGCTGCGAAGATTGAAGAATCGAGATCGCGAGTGTCAGCATCTCGGCCTCAACCTGCAGTACTCGATGTGTGATAATCATAGAGGAGATGAACCTGGTTATTTAATGAAGAGGAGAAGGTCCTCTGTTGTAGTCATAGGAAGTAGAGGATTTTTGTTAAACCTTCTCCCCAGTTGTACCTCAAAAAATGAAGGGGGAAGTGGAAGAAGGAAAGGGGTGGTGTGTCTTTGTAATTTATGTGTAATTTATGTGTGTACATTATCTGTACGTTTTCATGAAATTATTTACATCATGATTGGGGAGGATGACAAATTAAGTCATCTCGGAGACCGAAAATTCCTCTTACACCGGGAAATAACGCAATTTATTCACCTTTTTCACATGATGGTGTGTAATGGGTTTAAGATATCACCATAGTAATTGTGCCCGTTGCCTGTTCTTCTCCTCCTTTTAAGTCTCTCATCTTTTTTTATGGAGTATTCATGAAAGGATAATATTTCCTCTTGCCTCACCGGTCTCTTAATCGAATGAATTTTTTTACAAATGATCTTTAGATGATGATAAAATAAATTAATAATGTCAGTCTCATTTAGGAGGAGAGAAGTGTTATCCTTTAAGAAAATATCATTCATAACCAGTGTTTAAAATATTAGTATCAGTAAAAATATTTATATGCAAATTTGTGGATATGTTAATGAATATATCAATATCGATATCGGTTGCCTTGATGGAAATGATAGAAATTTGCTAATAAAATGTTGATATTTAATATGAAACTTTAAGGAATGTCATATGCAGCTTGTCGATATTTAACCGGATATATCGAAAATATTGACTAAATATGTCGATTTTAGCCAAAATTTAAAAGTTTCTCCGATACCTTGTGAAATTTAAACTTCACTCCCTCTTTCCATGTCTTTCTCTGATTTTTCCTATACACAGAAATATTGACTATCAAAATAATTTCAAACATTTCGTAACAAAAAACTGCCGCCACTAAAAGTTCATAGTACGAAAAGGAGCCTTAGATCCCGAGAGGCTTTTGGCATATAGCTAAATCAGTGTGGATGTGGGGGGACCAAGGATGCTTTTGGCATTAGACAAAACTTCACCACAACCACAAGAACATGAAATCCTATGGCTTTTGGGAAAGTAAATGGTAGGCAGGTATCGATTTGCCACGGCAGCTGCGACAACGGTTGGTGGGAAATATATGCCTCCCAGACCAGATTACTGGTGGTGCTCCTTAAAAGTCAGTCTATGACAATGACTGAAGAAAAAAAATTTCATCTACCTTGAGTGTCACTATTTTCGGATTCAAACACGGCCCCTTATTTGTTTGGTGGTAAAAGACTGATATCGAGAAATTTTTGTGGATATCGAAAACAATGTTCTATAGTGTAATCATTTCACGTTTTATAATCTGAATAGACGATATAATTATTGTCTTATTTTTAAAATTTAATAATAAATCAATATATTTACACGTGTAGTGGAATATATGATAGTGTTTTGGGTATACGAATAAAATATAATGTTTCACAACCCTCCTAGCTAGTAATAAACTAATCTGAAGCGGGTTGTTCGGAAGTTCTTCTAAGAAAAGCACGCATGCTCACAAGTGTTTTGTACAAAGCACTTACATTAGAAACACATTAAAATTTCTATAGAAAGTCCAATTGTTCATGTGGAACTCACATCTGCTCAATAGCATTTGAAGACGAACTTAGCAAACGCTTATGCACAAAGCGCTTCTTATGTGAAAAGCGCTTTAGCACTTGTTATGGTGTTGTGTTTTGCTACGTTTTCTCTAACATGTTTGTTGCCTCACCTAAAAGCCACTAGAAACACATTATTAATTCGATTAATTATTCAAGCACTAAGATTAAATTAATAGCATCTTTAAGTATTACTAATCCGATTCATAATAACCACAAACTTAGCTGCATGATTCATGTCGTAATTCAAGTACTATGATTAAATTAATACCATCTTAAAGTAATGCCAATGATTCCAATTGAATACTAACCGATCATTTTATAGGTGTTTTCTCCGTCGGAGAGTAATTTTCACACATCCCTTTTGTCCGTTTGCAAGAATCAAGTAGACAAAATAAATACGCGATCGAGACCTTTCAGATAAATCCATCAACGGGCTGGGCTAACAAGGGTCATGTTGTTTTGGATGTTATCCAGCCCATTCAGGGTAAATTACAATGAAAGTCCCCAGACATCAGGAGCAACAGAAGAGAACCACACCAGCTGATCAAAACTGCACCAGCAGCGAAAAAAAAAAAAAAAACAGTAGCAGGAAGGATAAGAACAAGCAGAGAAACAGAGTCAAACGAGCCAGGAAAACATCTTGGCTAGAAGGAGGAATTGACATAAGGAATTTAATCTGGTCCGACTCCTTTTATGATACAATTCTATTCAACACCGTCGAAGGCAGGAAAGATTCATTCCTGATGATTCTATAACTCGAACCAAATTCAGTAAACCACAACTGCAAAATGAAACCTTCCTGACAGTAGTAGACAGCCAAAGTGTGACAAAGTCTTGCATTCCCTATTGTTTCCTTCCCTAGCAAAATGTTACAACTCTAATATGCAGTGCTGCTACTATTTGCGTTAAGTGTCATTAAGACATTATAACACAACCAATAGACCACAACACACAGTTATTTTCCATCAGCCAATCTGATCCTAGACAAAGCTAAACACCTAAAATGAACAAATGCAGCCAACGACACCGCTACATTGAAGGAGACTTCATACCAAATACAAGCGTGAAAAGGAAGTACCTTCTCAACAGAATGCGAGACCAATAAAAGAAATGTCATAGGCAGATAATAAATCCTACAGGCCATTTGGGTGATCAGAAGGAAAAATTACAATGAAATCAGAAAGATGTCTTGACATTCATCAGTCAAGGAAGCATGTTACGAATTGAATTCAAAAAATCAAAACCAAGTTACGGGTAGAAAATAAGTCTACTCTATGATGGCACTTTGTATGACCTCAAATCATTATATATCCATCACCTCAAGCTCTGTCCATATCATGACCCGGAATTGTGATTCGAAAACATCAACTTAATGATGGATCACGCTGAAGTTTACTAATTATGTTTCAAAAGATTGGATACCACCTCACCTCATACTCCAATACTCCCATATCATCCACTACATACACATGTCTAAGCTGTTAAACTGAGCTGCTAAAAGGGTCGAATTCTAGCAGCTGTCTACGTGCAATAAGTGAACCTGCACACTCCCACTCTGCACCCTGCACTAAACGCGTACTATCAACTATCGAGCGAAATCTCTGATTCTTCGCAAAAATCATAATTCCCAAAAATAATCGTAGCTCAACAGCGACTATTGAGTCGAAAAGGCTCACATTTAGTAACGTTTACACAAATGCAGGCACATGAATTAAAAAAAAAAGCATGAAATTATAAAATTTTCTCAAGGCTTTTCATTCACTATAACAAAAAGAGTATACAATTTGCATTTGAATCGAAATCCGAAGCCCGAAAGCAACGAGCTCATCACAAAATACCTATAACATAATTTCCAGTAAAAATTTCTTAAGCGAGTAGTGATCACGTTAAGATGAAAATTAAAGCAGAAGAATTTCCCGAAACGAGACCTGGGTCCAAAACGGCGTCGTTGAGGAAGAGACAACCCCCTAGTCGTCGTCTCGCTTTTTGGGCTTCCGGTACTTCTCCTCGTATTGCTTGGCGATGAAGACGGCAGTGTCGCCGAGCTTCTTGATGTTCGGAACGTCGTAGTTTTGGGCTATGTAGATCCCGGCGACCGTGCCCATAAGGAAAGAGAAGCTGCTCTTGATTATCCCCATCTGAATTTGCAGAACAAAAATCGAATTCGATTTCTAGGGTTTTCGATTTGAATGCGCGGGTATTTATGGGGACGAAGACTTTGGGATCTCCATATTCTGGAATGGACGATGTGGTTCTACTTGTGCCCGGTCATCAACCTCCAACTGTCCAATTAGCCACTTCATCTTATTTATTTATTGTTCATTTTTAACGAAAAATCATATTTTTACATTAAAAAATTAATCTTGATATTATTTACTTCATCATTTATTTTGTCCTTATCATTAAAACTCAAAATTTTCAAACTATTTTGATTAGTTTTCCTTTTTAATAAGGTCTGATTCTAGTACCCTATAGATAATATCGTTTGTTATAAAAAAATTAAAATAAAACCGATTGAAAATCGAAACGAAACTAAAAACCGAATTGAACAAAAAATTATCAGTTCAGTTTCGGCTTTGCTAGTTCAAAAATCGAACCGAATGAAAATAAATTAATGTTATTTTATTTATTTTATGTTAGTTGTTCATTTTCCAGGCTTGATTCTAAATCAATTAATAGCTTAATTTCAATTCAAAGTTAGGTAAACTTAACTTTAAGCCTAAATATGTTGAAAGCCTTATTGTTTAATGAGAAATTTTATTTGAACTCATATAATCTCTTTCTACACTCAACTTACTCTTTTCATCCATATTGTTTTTTATTAAAGAATCAATATCCCTTTAAACCCAAATTTATTATCTAAACTATCATCTCAAGCCCAATTCAAAATGTAAAGTTATCTTTACACTCATTCCCTTTATAAAATAACATCTCTAATTAAATGCTTTTTTCTTCAAAGAGATGTCGTTTGCCCCTGTATAATTGCATATGACTAGCATTTCCATGGCTGTTTTTTTTTTCTGCTACCAAACCCATCCATTGACTTATGATCCAAGAGATCATTCCATAGATTTAAACTTGCCAGAGAATGCAATGCAAGCCCCAGTTCAGTCCATCACTTTGCCCTAAACATTTGACCTTGATGCTTTGAATTTGTATGGAGACATGCCACCCTCTAGTTAGTGGTCAAGGTTTATGAGGTTGGGCAATCTTTATATGCACCAAAAATCAAGTTATATGTCTTTGCACTATAATCAAAAGTCCTTATAATGGTGTTTTGGGGCGCAAACAAACGGCATAGAAAAGCAAATCAATATAATATAATAAGTATGAAATTTAATCTAAAGAAGAAGCAAACAAGCAAACAAAATATTCATAAATCGAGTCATATCAGGAGGATTCAAAACTTCAAAATCACTATCTATCAATAGAAAAACTTGTTTTTCTTTATCAAAACTATTAGGGTTTTAGTTGGAATGGACGTAGGATAAATGAAGGGTGATGCTAGGGTTTAATTATAATGTATGAGTTTATTGAGAAATTTGAGTTTTATTATTAATTTCATTTTGTACTTAATAGTAATTATGTAATAGGGTAAAATAGATAATTAACATTTAAAATTTAAGTTAGGTGTAGAAATAGGTTACTTGGGTTTAAATAAAATTTTCCTCGTCTAATTCTTTTTCTTTGTTTTTTTTTTCAAATTTTAATTTATAGGCTAGAAAAAAAATTGAAAAAAAGGGAAACTGTACCAAAAATCAAACTGATCCGAAGTATAAATTACAAAATCAAATGGAACCGCATAGTAATCTCGGGTTGCTTTTTATTTAAGCCATCTTAATTGTTTCGATATTGTTTGTACCATACTTGATCAATTCTGAAACTACCGAGCACCGATCAACGTTATACCTTCAAGGACCCAAAAGAGTTTCCTACTAGGAGGCCAATCACAGAGCGACACGTGTTGACATCAGAAGCCAATCATAGCGCGACACATGTCAACATCGGAAGCCAATCACAACACGATACGTGTCAATGTCAGAACAAGGCTAGAAACTATCTTCTATAAAATGAGATCATTTTCTCACAATATTGGCTAATGTTATTTGTACTAAATCATTCATTTGTACTCACTAAATGAGAGCTTGAACTATGTACTTGTGTAAACCCTTCACAATTAATGAGAACTCCTATACTCCATAGACGTAGCCAATCTGGGTGAACCATGTACATCTTTTGTTTGCTTCCATGTCTCTATTCATTTACATACTTATCCACACTAATGACCGGAGCAATCTAGCGAATGTCACAAACTTAACACTTTCTGTTGTACCAAAGTTCTTACTGATTTTGTGAATCAACAGATATTATATTTAATTTTCAACATTTTATATCTAATATACTTTTTGTCGTGATACATGATGAATTATTTTTAACAATGATACAGAATAAATATGTTTTTCTTTATTTCCACGTAATCAAAATAGTTTATCTTTTTATTTTTGTTTTAATGAAAGAATTTTTATTTATTGTCAAATTTGGGGAGCTTGCTTTTTATTTTCTTTTATTTTCTATTGCTTTCCACTCCCGCAAAATTTGACCCAGCCTATAAACTGTCTTTTAGTCAAAAATATAAAAACAAAAAAAAATCAAAATTAATAAAATTAAAATCCATCTCTCTCTCTCCCTGACGCGGCTGAAATTTGCAGAAACTCCCCACCGACGCAGCGGTCAGCGACGTCTCAGCTCAAATCAGGTCCTTGATTCTGCCAATATTTTCTGATTTATCATTTAATTACTTCCAAATTTCGAACATTTCTGCTTGATTTCGCTCAATCACCTTTGATTTCAAGTTTTTTTACGGTTTTACCCGTGTTTTCATGGCTTCGAATGATAGGGCTTCTCAATTTTATGCTTTGGCAGTTCCTAATAGCATTTAGAGGAGAAAGCCGATTCCTTTTGATTGATTTTGTATTTTGTAAGGTATTTATGCAACTTGATCATTCGGTGACTTCCAATTTGTCACGTTTTGTTGGTATTTATAGTTTCGATTGCGAAAATTTTACTAAAATTATTGAAAAGATCACTAATTTTCTAGTTTTTAAGAGTTATTCGTTCATTAATAATGGTTGTTTAGCATCCTAACAGCCGGTTCTAGCCGTTGTTGTTCTGAGAAAATGCTCATCAGTGTTGCTTTTTCGTGGCAGGTTATACGGTTTCAATCTGAGAATTTTCGATCGTTTGTTGACAGTTAATGCTCCGTCGTGTTTGAAGCTAACTTGAGGTCTATGCCCCGATTTTTTACTTCAATGACAAGATATGGTCAAAATGAGCAAGGGATCTTGCTAATTCAGTGGTGATGAGAATTTTGGAGTTGGGGTTTGGTAAGGAGGTTGAATTTGTTACCAATGGGTTTGAGGTATATAGCCATCTCCGCTGCATGTACAGCGATAAGCTTTGCAGGCCTCCAGTTGTGGACGGAAACTTCTTTAGTTAAACTAAAATCGGATGGACTGATTGAGGAGAATTTGATTAATGCGGCCAATTTTGGCCATGTATTTGATCTGCTTTTGGGTTCTTATACTACCGTTGGACTGCTGGCAAATTTTGTACTCAATGCATTTATTTTACTCGTTTTATGTCTCAAGGTAATTTTCTAACTCTTCTGGAAACTTCCGTTGTTGCACAATTGTAAGTTTGATGGATGCATGAACTAGTGCAGTGGGTTTATATTACAGTGAACGGGTGATTTACTATTTTGTTGCTAACGGTTCTAGTATTACTTTCATTTGTTGTGCCACTTTGATGAATTTTGGCAAGAAACAAATTTTCTACTGTCTGCTAGAGATGGTCAGTTTGTTTTAAGATACCAGATGCCATTATTCAAACATGCAATAACAATCTTGGAGCTAGTAAACTACTCCATTGTCTGTTTTCTTTGTATGTATGTGAAATTTGTCTGAGAAAGGTTGATTTGATCATTGTGATGTCTGTTTCTAATTTGCAGACTATATTCTTTGTGGAGTTGTATTCTTCTGAAACTCACAAATTAATCGAACGCCTTATCAATTATGTTATTTACAAGGTGAATATTTTAATTTGCTGTCAGTTTAATTGACTTGCTACCAGGAGAATCACTACTTTAACTTGATAAACTTTCCGTTTTGGTTGTTTTATAATACTTATTGTTTAATAACTACGTCATGTACTAATATGTATTATTTAATGATTTCTTATGAACATCGATGAATGTCAAACAGGGCACTTTTCTACCCCTGGTCATTCCTCCTACAATATATCATGCGGGCCTGTGGTCAGTCTGGTTGATTGTTCTTTGTTCTTTAAAGGTATATGACATAATATTTATGAAAAACGTGATGTATATGGAAGTATAAAAGCAAGTGTATACCTTCTTACCTATATTTTCCATGTTGTACTTGTATAGATGTTTCAAGCTTTGGCTCGAGATCGACTTGAACGGTTGAATGCATCCCCTTCTGCCACACCATTGACATATTTTCGTGTGTATTCAGTGTTATTGCTGGTGCTGACTGTTGATATTTTCTGGTATTGCTTTATCACTTTTCTTGGAGTACGAATTAGGTCTCTTGCATGTCACTTGATGATAATATATTTTTTTTTCTGTCTGAACATCATAATAGTTTATTTTGTCCATTTTGGTGCTTAACAGATAACACCACAGGATGCAGGGTGGAATACTCTTTTATTTATCTTTTTACCTGTGTTTGTCTAGCAGTCTTAAACCACTACAATCCACCTTTCTAGGTCAAGTTTTTAATTTGCTAGGACCAGATCATCAATCTGCTTTGGTTTTTGATTCCCAAAACCTGCTGATTAAAAACTTATAGTGGATCAGTTGTTAAATATTCTGAAATTATTAATTGATTCATGAAGATTCTGTGTTTTGCACCCTCTGTTGTTGCATGAGTTCGTATTACTGAGAAATGCCTCATATTTATATTTTGTTTGGTGCTTGCAGGATAAGGCTGTGTGTGGTGATATATAAAACACTGGGTTTATCTATGTTTCTCTTGTTATTATTTGAGCCTTTCAGTATTGCATTTGAGACATTGCAGGTAATGTCCTGGGAACTTTGTCCATGAAACCTTATCATGTTTTCTGTCAAATTTTGGAAAGCTTGTTGACAGTGTTGGTTGGCTTGCCACAATATTTTTGTAGGCTATTTTGGTGCATGGATTTCAGTTACTTGATATATGGATCCATCATTCAGCATGGAACAGTTCAAATTGCGAGAGTTCCAAATTATTTGATACATCAGCAGTTGGTAGGTCTCCAAATTTACTTTTACGATCTCATATTGTAACTGGGGTTGTTGAGGGTGTTCCTATAAGTACGTTGTTCTTTCTGCTCCTGTAAATGGGTAAAGGCTTACTTGAGTTTGCGGGTGTAAATTGGGTGCTATGTGTACACTCAGATTGTCGTTACTATATTCATTTGGCTGAATGCAGGTTTATTGTTGGAATGGAAAGGCGGTCTTACTCGGAATTTGAGCTTTGTTCTTGATATGGCCACATTGTTAATGGCCCTTGGTCACTACGTGCATATTTGGTGGTTTCATGGCATGGCATTCCATCTGGTGGATGCAATCCTTTTTCTAAACATACGTGTAAGTATTTGTGTAATGTTTCATTCTACTTTCTATTGGAACATCCATTCTCCTTTTTACTTGATTCCCCAATACTATCTTCTTTCTAATTAAGGATCCATTATTGAGCAGGCCTTGCTAAGTTCAATTGTAAAACGTATAAAAGGGTTCATCAAACTGAAGAAAGCCTTAGGTGCTCTTCATGCAGCACTTCCAGATGCAACATCTGAAGAACTACGGGCATATGATGATGAATGTGCAATTTGTAGGGTATGCCTAGTTTTCTTCCCCCTTAATTGGTTACAATTTCAGTTTCCCCTTGATTCCTCGAACTTACTGGGAAAATGGCAGGAACCTATGGCTAAGGCCAAAAGACTACACTGCAGTCACCTTTTTCATCTTGCATGCTTGAGATCTTGGTATGGTGCATGTGTTGTTAAACCCTTCCTTTTTCTTTTTTATTTTATTTTTCTTTTTAGAGCATGCGATGCCCAAGAAAATGATGAAAATAATTAATGATTCCAGGTTGGATCAAGGTTTGAATGAGATCTATTCATGTCCGACTTGTCGCAAGCCACTTTTTGTAGGTAGACCTGAAAATGAAGTACATCCCCGCAGTGAAGAAACTTCGAGTGATGAGCAGCTTGCTCGTCAAATAAGTTTAGGACTTGGTCGACAAAATACTCCTGGACATGCAATACCTGCTGGTGTGTTTCCCAATCAGACTCAGAACCCTGCGGAAGGCGATCCATGGAGGTACACTTCCTTATTTAGGAAGTATTGTAGTTTCTCTTTCCTGTCTTTTGCTTCTTGCTGCTGTGTTGTCTTTACAAAATGAATCTGGGATTAACATTTTCACTTTAGACTTGGTAAATTTCTATTCAGTTTTTGCCGGGTGTACTAAATTTTATTGGGTGATTAGATTCCAGCACATAAACGAGAAGACATAATAATACTTTCTGTATGGTTGCATAATCCTTATAGATGCATGCAAAACCAGGCACTCCTCGTAGCTTTTTCCTTAAAACTGTTTGATTGCAATGTAATAACAAGTAAACAACTTGTCTTCCTATACTGATATTCCTGAATCTGCTCAGATGATATACGAGAAATTAAATATGTGAGAAAATATACACATTTTCACTTTAGAGGTCGCACTTGGTGCGATGGCAAGTGCCTTCGCCCATGAGCGGTAGGTCTCGGGTTCGAGACTTGGGAGCAGCCTCTCCATAAATGGGGGTAAGGCTAGCCGACATTCACCTCTCCCAGGCCCCTGCGTAAAGCGGGAGCCTTGTGCACTGGGTACGACCTTTTTTAAAGCACTTTCGTTAAAAAAACATATGATAATATTTATTATACATGATGTATATCATGCTTCTCCTTATGTCGTGTAGAGGTACCGGACTGGATTCAGATTGGTTGCATACTTGGTCAAGCCAGGGAGTTGACGGGGCAGGTCCTTCTACGGCTGTAGGATCTGTTGGACTGGGGAGAGTTCAGATGATGATGAGGCGTCTTGCATCTGTAGGGGAGACGTATGCGCACACGGCCCTTGAAGATGGTGCGTGGAGCCTCTGGCCTATGAATGCCCCTCAGGTTGCTGCAACTGGTCCACCGATTCCTCCTGCAGACGATGGAAGATACCAAGGAGGAGCACGGAATTTACATATGAGGACCCCCGCACGTACTGTGAATGACAACCTAGCAAACATACTTGCTATGGCTGAGACGGTGAGGGAAGTTCTGCCTCATATGTCAGATGACCTAATTTTCCAGGTACACTTTGCTTCTAAGACAAATTATGGTTGCCATTGAAGCTCGTTTTTAAACTTTCATTTTACATTCCGTAATGTATTACGTGCCACAGGATTTGCAGCGAACAAATTCAGTTACCGTTACTGTGAATAATCTTCTCCAAATGTGACGAGGCGTTGTATCTTCTTTTGTTGTAACGTGTTCCCCAAGTCCTCGAAAACCAGTTGATGTTTTCTAAACACCACAGATCGTCCTCTGTGAGACTGCTTCCCCACCCACATTGTACATAAAGGCAGCTCACCGGATCACTTTTACCGGAGGAAAGAAGGAAAAGAGGCACAAGTATAGTTTCTTTTTTTTTGGTACTTCCCCTGTGAAAAATAAATTTTCGATGTTGTGTATGGTTTACAGATGAACATATTGTTGTTTCCTACGTGGTTTTGAATTGGCCATTCGGTTGGCACGGCCACACGAATTGGTGCGTAGACGAAATCTCCCTTGTGGTTCATAACTTATAGAGAAAATATGCACAAATGGAACCAGATACGAATTTTTAATCAAAATGGAAATGGAGAGACATCAAACAAATAATAAACGCGCGGTAAATCGTGATTCATATATGACTTATTCAAAGGTTAGATGCATGGTTCGATTTTATTTTGCAATGAAATTTTGTGTGTATGTGGGTGGAACGACAGGAGGTGAAAGTAGTCAAAAGAGCACAACGCTGGCTAAACGACATGGGCGGCGAGACGACCCAAGAAATGCTGGGTTTGGAGACGACATGAGTTGGGCTGTCTCGTCAAAGCACAAACACCAGTGGTTATTTTGTCTAACGCCGTTAACAAAACAACAGACGGGTAGTTCTCCCAACGTCAAAGTCAACAGGCCATTGTCGCTGCACGTGTCGAATTTTGGTTGAACCGACCCAAATTTCTGATTTTCTTCTGCTTTGACCTTCCTCCCTAATTCTGTTCTTCGATTTTCATTAGCCAAACAATGAAGAAAAGAAGTATACCATACGATTCTAATTAAAAGTAGACTCGGTGCGATTTGTCAGGCAACTTATTATAACTCAAGTGGTTAACAGCATCGAAAGTCTAATTTTATTTATTAATAATATCTTTAATGACAAGACTTCTTATAAAAATTAAATTTCTTCCTAATTATCTTTTTATTATTTCTTCTTATTCATTTTGTTTTTTTGTTATTTCTTGTTCTTGTTCTTCCTGTTCAAAGCCCCATTCATAGATTTTATTTTAATTTTTATAATTAACCATTATCACGCATTAATTGTAATTATCTACTTATATGACCAATTCTTCTTTATATATAATCAATTTGTATCACAGATTAACGTATCTTGCTTGTAGGTATATTACTTTTTTGTACCTTTTAGTTAAGTTTCATATCTCGCTTATAAATATAATATTCATTGATGTATTTGTTACTTGAGTTAGGGTCACAAGTTGCTTGTAGGTATATTAGTTTTTTGTTAGAAGACATTACGTAGATTGTTTGGAATTAGAGGATGCATGAAATTAGAAGATTTTAATTTATCTCCAGTGTTCAAAAAATGTAAAATGATTATAAAAAATAAGTGGAGAAAAGATAATTCTGAACTTAACCTAATAGCCATGTTGATTTATTGGACCCAAATCTAATTAATTTGGATTCCTCACTAATCAATTTATAAACTTTGTCTTTTAATGGTCTTTATCTAACCTGAATTTTGATTTTCACTTCACTTTGAGGGTCCTTTTCAAATTTCAGTGGAGTTGTTAATGTTGTCTATGTTCTTATTGACAATTGCAGCTGTTCATTTTACTGTTGTTCAACCATTTTTATGTCCCGTTGTGCCTCTTTTTCTACTCAAAACAGTGCCTTCTGTCTCTCACCAGCTCTCCTCCTTCGGCAGCCCCGAGGAGTTGGTCGTAGGCTGAGTTTCCATATGTCATGGTAAATAATAATACATCCAATTTCCACGAGGTTAATGTATTAAACTACGTTAAATAGAAGCTTAAAACTAAATTAACCCTGACGTTATGTTAATGTTTTAGGCTAAAGTTTCTGTGCAGGTAGGAAAGTTGGAGTAAAAAAGCATGCATGCATGCAACAGACACGGAGCGACAAACATGAAAATCTGACGGAAAAAATCGAGAACGTTTTCGATGGAAACAAATCAACATGTGTATTTTCTTTTGTGCCTTCCCAGTTTTTGCCTCAACTTATTTACTTTTGTCCTCAACACATTCCCCTTGGTTCTGTAATTTTATATGAACCCCCATCGAGGACCATGCTTCGAAGTTCGAATAACTACAAAACTCCAAAGGTTTAATTGTATTTTACTGATCATATCGTGCTGATTACTTGGGACCAAGACACTTTTTCTTGACGGGAAAGCAAGATCTTAGTTCGATGTGAATTCGGGCGAACACTATCATGTGCTCGGGATTTTGAGGCGTGACAGAAAAACAAGTGATACAGTGCAACTAATTTTTAAGTGCAGAAGATAACACAGGATTTGACTAATACCAGCTGCAACAAACCTACTTTTCTCTTTTTGCACAAAGTACTATATGTTGTACTGTTAATTAATTCATGAGAAGTTCGATATTTTATAAAGGATCTCTGTCCAAATCATCCTGCACAAACTGAAGGAAGTATGCATGCATCTTTGCCTAATTATTTTTTAAAATTCTACATTGGTCATAATACCGATTAAACTAGTTAACTAATGGTTTTAACATTAAACCGATTCAGTTGTGGCTTAATTTTCTCATACATGTCCGGAGTCCACAAACATATATATACGTTTGTTTGAAAGCTTCAAAATATAGCATATCTAATATATCTAGGAGCTTAATATATCTAGGAGCTACGATCTCAGTTTTCTTGGCGAGGGTTTAGGGTTAGGTCTTTATCTTGGGGCCCTTGTTTTAATTTCCAGAATTAGACAAGTGATGCAAGCCACCACAGCCTTCTTTTTTGTTCCCGCATAAGTCTCGTCATCACTCACTGTCTCTCCAACTTCTCACAAGCAATTGAATGATCCTTATATAATTGCTTTGCTGCTGCTATTGATTCTCCATCTCAAGATCATCGTCATGTCTAGTATCCTATCTTCTCTTTTCTCGATCTTTTTTCTGTTTCTTTCGATGCATGCATGCGAGGCTCGCTATATCGGGCTTGGCCCTAAGGGTTTTGGAGCACCATTCCTACCTTTCGGCAAGGTTTGTTAATTTTGTGTTTCAATTTCTTACCAGCCGTTTGATAATCATTTCATTTTTAATTTTACTATTTTTTTTTAAAACGAAAAACTTGTTTGGTAATGAAAACCAAAAACTAGAATTTTGGAAGATGTTCAAATTTTGGTTTGATTTCGTTTTTTTGTTTTCAAATATTTGAAAACTAAAAAATTGTTTGCTGCAGTGCAGTCACTAAATTAAAACTAAATGATTATTAAACGAGCCTTTTACGCTAAACTAATCTATGAACGTTCACAAACTAATGCATGTAGGTATTTGAAACTGTTAAAATTTCAGGGTCTGTTACTTTTGGAGAAGTTTAAAACACTTGGAATGGATTCAAGTAAAGGATTCGTTATGAAGGAATATGACGCAGCTGAAAAGGGTCATGGTGGTGCAATCACTAGTACTACGACTCCTGTAAAGGAAGTGAAGTGCACTAGCAGAGGACACAAATCAGGTGTTGTACCAGCTACTAAGCCTCTTGTTTCAGTTTCTTGGTCTGTGCCACGCAAGATTAATCGCGTCAAGAACCATGAAAAAACTAGTGCTGGGATTTACTCAGATTATTCGAGATCAAGAACACGTCCTCCATCCCATAACTGAGCTTAAATTATTTATGTAGTAGCATCTTTTATCCTCCTCCATTTATAAATACGAGTATATACATCTCCAAGGATCACTTTCTATTCCTGTGTATCTATACCTTGCTGAGATCTCCAGTTTTGATCATAAACCTTAGATATTAACCAATCGATATTATATGTGATCGGTCTTCTTCTTGTCATTTCATTGATAGGGATGGAACCAGCCGGAAGTGAGATTGTAGAGTCTTCTGATCATCACATGGTGGGTTTGCTTAAAACAACAAGTCCTACTACTAAAAAGGTAATCAAATTCAACATGTAGGAGTCTTACTACTTAATTGGTTTTATTTTTCTAGCTAGATGTGGTGGATCGAGGAGCATATGGGACCTCATCAGGATCAATCTTTTTCTTTATGTCGAATCGTGGAGGGTGACAATGGAAGATATGTTGTCTGTATGCTTGAATTGTCGAATGTGCGAGTTGCAATTAATTAATTGGGTGTCAGGATCAGAAATTGAAAAAAGTTGAGTTTCCAACCTAACATCAATTGGTTATATGAGGAGTGGTCCGCATCCTTATAAACACATGCAAAGTCTCTTAATTCTCCGATTTATGAAATTCACACTCTCAACAATCATCTTATGCATGTAACCACAAGAAAAATGAACGGAATAAGTAATGAGTCAGAAGAGAGAAAGATCAAAGTTATTTATATGTAGATTAACGCGTTTTGTATGCATATGTTGTATTTGTATATGTAGGAAGCAAGGAGGAGAGCTCTATCTGGTAAAGAAGCCGTAAATTACAACAGTGATGACAAAGTAGAAGATAATGTGGTGCATACAGATTACAACCCGCCACATTCGACACCACCCATTCACAACAGAAAAAGTTAATTACCAAGTGTAAAGCTATAGACAATCAAGATCAATCCAGCGATAAAAAAGATGCCACTTGTTAGATGCTACTTGTCAAGAGATTAGCTTATAAGAGTTGTTAGTTGGTTAAGAATCAGTTTGCTTACTGTGTAAGGAATGTAACTAGTCTAAATAGGAAATCCATGTATCCATTGAGTGTGTGAAGAAATAATATCAGTGAAATACTCTCATTCCCTTCGATCTCCCTTTCTCTCTCTGGATTATGGGCTTACAACTTCTCTCTTTAAAACACCATTGTTGATCTTCAAGCTCCAGACTGCTCAATTCAACATGGTATCCTCACTGGGAAAGGTTTCTTCTCTCCGAACCTGATCGTCTCTGCTTCCGAGTTCATCCTTGTAATCACTATGGTATGCGATTCATCATCTCCATTGATAAGAAAAATTGTATGAAATTTAATTGATCTCGACTTTTGATCTTTGCGCATCAGATGTTTTTTGAAATATATGTGCCAATTCTTATGTGATAATCTTCTCTGCAAAGTTGTGTTCGTTCTTTTCTTCAAGAACAAGAATCAAGAAAGTTCTTCAAAACCCTAATTTCTACAAGAAATCTTCTCTGATCTTCTTTTCTGCTTACAAAATTTGAGTCAACATGGTGACTGCTGCACAACTACAAATTGTGCAATCTCCAATCACGAGCTTAATTCCTAATGTATCTACTTTTGTGACTGTCAAACTAGATGATATGAATTACTTAGTCTGGCATTACCAAATGCAATTACTTCTTGAAAGCCATGGAATTCCTAGTTTTGTGGATGGTTCTCAAAAATGTCCATCTCGTTTTGTTGATAATTATGATGTTGAGGGTATAGAAACTGAAGCATATCAAATCTGGAAAATGCATGATCGTGCTGTAATGCAACTTATTATTACAACTCTATCTGTTGCTAGTATGTCTGGTATCATTGGCTGCACCAATGCACGTGAAATGTGGATGAATCTTAAAGATCGTTTTTCAACTGTTACAAAAACCAGTATCTTTCAACTGAAAACTGAGCTGCAGAATATTAAAAAAGGGTCTGAATCAATCTCTCAGTATCTGCAAAGGGTTAAGGATGCCCGTGATCATTTGGTTGCTCCTGGAGTTCCATTTGATGATGATGATGATATTGTCATTATAGCTTTTAAGGGTCTGCCATCGGAGCACAATACTTTCAGAACATTAATTAGAGGGATAGACAATGTTATTTCTCTTAAAGACTTTCGAGCTCAGTTACTTGCAAAGGAAGCCACACTTGAAAATTCTCAGTTGACTGGTTTTTTTTGTGCCTGCTATGCTAGCTCAAGGCAATAATTCCAAAGGAAAGGGTCTGTTACTTGCAGATAGTTCGTCAAATTTGACTGATTCTCACAATTCATCATCTCAGTACCACACTGGTAGTTCATCATATTCCAATGGTATTTTGGAGGCTTTAATAATGGTGGTCCTACTTTCAACTTTGAAGGATACAGTAATGAGGGCAATGCTTACAATTCTAGAGGATATAGGGGTTCTAATTTCAGAGGAAGAAATAGGGGCAGCAACAACTATGGCAGTTCAATGTTCTCTGGTAATAACTTCAATACCAGTCCTGGTATTCTTGTACCTGCAAGACCCCATGTCTCTACATGCTTTGAGCATGACAATGATGTGCCAACCTGTCAAATTTGCAACAAGAGATGTCATATTGCTTCTGATTGTTTTCAGAGACACTCTTCCACCACAATTTCTTCTTATCCTATGCAATGCCAAATTTGTTGGAAATTTGGGCATTATGCCATACAATGCTATCATAGGGCAAATTTCTCATATCAAGGCAGGTCACCCTCATCAACTCTCTCTGCCATGCATGTACCAACCTTCTGCTCCACATGAGCAATTCTGGGTAGCTGATACTAGTGCAACTTCCCATATGACATCAGACTTGGCAAATCTAAATCTGGCAACTTCTTTCACAGGCAATGACACTATAACCACAACTAGTGGTTTAGGTTTGCCAATATCTCATATTGGTTCTTCAATTTTAAAAGCTCCTAAATGTGCTTTTGAATTGAAAGAAATATTGCATATTCCCAAGTTATCTCAACACTTATTAGTCTATCAGCTATGCAAAGACAATCATTGTAGGTTTATATGTGATGAGTTTTGTTTTTGGATTCAGGACAATATCACAGGGATAATACTTCTCCAAGGACTATGTAGAGCTGGATTGTACCCAATTCCATTCCAAATACCTCCATACTTTGTAAAGCAAGCATATAAAACATCTCACTTACCTTCACAACATCACTGCTTTATTAGTCATCAAGTCAATTCATCTCTGTGACACAACAGATTAGGCCATCATTCTAATGCTGTTGCTGCAAGAATATTAAACCAATCTCAGGTTCATTTGTCAATAGATCAATCTAGGCATGTATGTGTTTCTTGTTTAGAAGGAAAAATCACAAAATTACCATTTTCTTTTCCTGCCAATAAGACGGTAAAACCCCTAGAAGTCATTCACAGTGATGTGTGGGGACCTTCTCTTACATTGTCAATTGAGGGTTACAAATTCTATGTTACTTTCATAGATGAATGTACCAGGTTTACTTCGATATTTCCATTAAGGTGTTTCAAACATTTGTGCAGTTTCATGCTTTCTTACTTACTCAATTTTCAACTACAATTAAAATTTTCCAAAGTGATGGTGGTGGTGAGTATTACAGCAATAACTTCAAACAGTTTTTACTTAACCAAGGCATCATACATCATAAATCTTGCCCTCATACTCTTGAACAAAATGGCCTTGCTGAGAGAAAGCATAGGCACATTATTGAACCTGCTTTAACACTTTTGCATACTTCCAAACTACCTTCAAAGTTCTAGTTTCACGTTTGTGCTACTTCATTATACTTAATCAATAGAATGCCATGCACTACCTTGTCCATGAAATCTTCATATACTTGTCTGTTTGGCACAACTCCTATTTTAACACATTTAAAAACCTTTGGTTGCAACTGCTTTCCTTTGTTAAAACCATACATTACAAACAAACTTCAACAAAAACACTGCACAATGTATTTTCTTGGGACATGCAAGACAATACAAAGGCTACATTTGTTTCTAACCACACACATGGAGATTTTATGTGTCTAGACATGTTCTCTTTGATGAGAATACCTTTTCTTACATAAATTTAGTCTCCAAACCAGTACTATCACCATCTATGTCACAACACACTCATACTCCAGTTATTCATTTAGTTACACACACTAATATTGTTGTTTCACAACCTCAATCATCTCCATCACTATCATTGTCACAGATACTTTATTCATCATCATCATCTGTGTCATCAAAATCATCAACCCCTAGAGCCTTAGAGTATTTCAGTGAACCCACTAGAGCTTCAAAGTCTTTGAATGTCCCAACTTCAGCTCTAGAGTTGTTCAATAACATGCCAATCCCCACTTCCTCATCTAGTGCTTCAGAGTTTTTGTCTACATCTCCAAAATCTACAACAACTACACAGTCCCACATCCCTGTGGATCCTGATTTTCAACCAGAAAATCTCACAGTTGTTCTTCTAGTACCTACAATTAGTCTTCATCCAATTCAGACTAGATTTAAAAGTGAGATTGTTAAGAAGAAAGCTTTTTCAACCACTGTACATACTTCTGAAAGTTCAACTATTAAGCCAACTACCTGCAAAGTTGCTAGTAAAGTTCCAGAATGGCAAGCAGCAATGCAAGATGACATCAGTGCTCTACATACTAAACAAACTTGGGATCTTGTTCCTCTTCCAAGTGGTAAAAATCTAGTTGGTTGTAAGTGGTGTATAAAGTCAAGAAGAATCTAGATGGATCCATTTCTAGGTACAAGGAAGATTAGTTGCCAAGAGATATAGTCAAGAAGAGGGGATTGATTATAATGAGACTTTTAGACCAGTGGTCAAACCAACCACAGTGAGGTTTATTCTTGCATTTACAGCTCAGTGTAATTGGAGTTTGAGACAATTGGATGACACAAAATGCATTCTTGCATGGAGAGTTGAACGAAGAAGTATATATGGCTCAACCTCTAGGTTTTTTCAGTCTTATTCATCCTTCTCACTTTGTTTGCAAGCTAAAAAAGTCATTGTATGATTTAAAACAGGCTTCAAGAGTTTGGAATGAGAAGTTTACTAATTTTTTTACCAGGTTTGGGGTTTAAACAATCACTTGCATATCCTTCTTTAGTTGTCAAACACACTGATCTTGGTATTGTAGTGTTGTTATTATATGTTGATGATATAATCTTAATTGGAAGCAGTTCTAGTGATATATCTGCAGTGATCTTGGCTTTAACTCAATAATTCGATATGAAGGACTTGGGACATCTTAATTACTTTCTGGGATTACAGATTCAATATCAATCTTTTGGTTTGTTTGTTTTTCAGACAAAGTATATCAAGGATTTATTGGCCAAAGTTGATATGCAAAATGCAAAAGCATGTGCTACTCCTTGTCTTCCATCTCACAGATTACTCAAGGAAGAAGGCAAACTGTATCACAGTCCAAAACAATACAGAAGTATAGTGGGTGCATTGCAGTATTTGACATTCACTAAACTAGATATTGCTTTTGTAGTAAATTAGTGCTGTCAATTCATGCATTCTCCTATGGATTCACATGTAATTGCAGTCAAACGAATTCTTCGATATCGTAGTGGTACTATTGACTATGGCATAAATTTTCAGCCTGGAAAGTTGTCTTTACAAGCATATAGTGATGCTGATTAGGCAGGAGATCCCAATGATAAGAGATCCACTTCTGGTTATATTGTTGATCTAGGCTCTAGTCCCATTTCATGGCTTCCAAGAAACAATACACATTTTCTCGGTCTTCCACTGAAGCAAAATATAAGGCTTTGGCTATAACTGCTACATAATTGGCATGGATAAGACAACTTCTATGTGACTTACAAGTTCCCTTATATACTCCTCCATTGATGTACTGTGATAATATATCTGCTATAGTCTTGTCTTCTAATCTAGTTTTTCATTCGAGGGTTAAGCACATTGAAATATACTATCACTTTGTCCGAAAACGAGTGATTCAAGGAGATTTGGCAGTGCAGCATGTGTCTTCCAAAGAATAATTTGCTAATATTCTCACCAAAGGTCTTTCGATTTCCTTGTTTCAGCATCATTGTTCCAATCTCATG